ACTCCCAAATCCGAAGGATCAGAAATCATGCCTAGAAACATCAGGTGTATATAAGATCCCTTGCTCTTGTGGTAAAGTTTATATAGGAGAAACCGGGAGGAAGATCAGTACGCGAATCAAGGAACACCAGCGATGTACCAAGTATGGTCACTTTACTCAATCAGCCCTAGCTGAACACTGGATGGAAACTGGACACTCCGTACAATATGACAAAGCCACCAGATTGGCTCTCTCACAGAGTTATTTTGCCAGAAAATATCGTGAAGGTCTAGAAATTTTGAAACATCCCAACAACCTCAACCGAGACAAAGGTATGCAAGTAAACTCTATTTGGCATACTGCCCTCCCGGTTTTTTAATTGAACAGCTGATCAATTAAGATACGCTAATTGGCTGGATTCAAGCCTCGTCCCCTACTCCCTAAACACCATCTACACAAAGGGGGGGAGGGGGGCATATAAGGACTACCTTTACCCAAGGGAGCTCAGTATCAGAGTTCTCAGCCCTGATGATCCAAACTGCAACGTTTGCGAAACGTCGGCATATCGCTGATTCAAGACACGGCTCCATTCCGGAAGCTATACCTAGATATTTAATACATTAATATATTAATATATAAATATATTGTGTGTAATATATAATGTATAAATATAATAATATTAAATATATTATGTGTAAATATAGAATGAGGTATTTAAATTGAGATGTCTAAACATATAAAAAATAAAACAAAATGAGAAGAAATGAAATGATAGAAAACCGAGTTTAAATCATTAAATAAAGAGAAGATTTTTAATTTATTTATATTTATTTTGTTGCATGCTCGAAAAGACCATCAATTTTATACATATATTTTTTTAATATGTTTAATGAAAGATTGGTGAACATTTAACAAAGCATTTCTATCAATATTGTGACAGGCATTTCTAATGCGTTCTTTCATATTTTCTGGTGTAATTGGTATATCTTTATATACTTTTCCTTTAAGAAAACCCTTACAGAAAAAAATCTTGAAATATTCTGGTAAACAGGCAGGCCAAGGAACTACTTTTTCTCATCGTATCTACCTGTTACTGTAATATTGATCTAATATTTCTTAAGCTTGACGTGAAAAATGCACTAGACAACCATCTTGCTGAAATAACATACACATTCTTTGTTCATAAGATAGTTCATCAAGTAATAATCAAATTTTTAGTTTAGAAAATTTTTATATTTTTCATCCAATGTTCCGTCAAAAAAGTAGGATCCAATAAATGTATAGCTGATAATTTCACACCAAACGTTAATACTCCATGGTCGCTAACTTCTTTAACTTCTCATAATCATCTTGGATTTTCCTTAGTCTAGTAATGCATGTTATGTCGATTTTCTCCATAGTTCATTAAAATTGACTCATCGGAAAATAAGACGGAAAGGAAAAAATTATTTTTTTATTTGTCGTTGTGCCCAATGACAGAATTACTCGATTTTGAAAATTATTATGTAGTTGATGTAATGAAATATGATGCGGGTAGAATTTATAACGTTTATAAGTATTGGTAAAATACTTCTAGATATAGCGAGAAATACTACGAGAACTGATTTGTAGATCATGAGCTACTGCTACTAATACGACAATTTCATTATTTTCATCAGTGACACTCTTTTGCATTGACCTTTTTTTTCATAAATATTTCCATGTTCTAAATATTTTTTTACAGCTCGGTAAAATGAAGAACGTGATGAAACATTTCTCTTAGAATATCGTTTGATGTATAAAACAAGTGTTTCATGGAGAGAGAGGGGAGTTTCTTTGAGCTTCACCACAAATGAAGATCATATCAATTTTCTTTGCTACAGTTAATCTTTCTATTTTAATTAAATATAAATTATTCTTATTTACATGATACACAACAACGAAATGACTAGTGTTCATTTTCATATTATACATTTGATTTTCAGCGAGCAACTGAACTTTATGTTGCAGATTGGAAGTTGTGAATTATGGTACAACGCATCTTCTAATTAGCTACATAAAAATTATTCTATCTATGTTGCTCACAGAAAATTAAATTTGTAATAGAATGTAGTAATACATTAGACATTTCGTTTTTGTATATCATTTACATATTCTGAGGAAAATGTTCCATCACATGTTCTTTATTTTATTGAATTGTGAAAAAATGTTTAAAATATCGAAATATTTATGAACTATGCTTCAGTCATCTTTCATTCAATGTATACAAAAGTGTATCAAAGTTAATGGTTATCTTTTCGAGCATTTAATGAAATAAATGCAAATAAATTTAAAATTACATTTAATGATTTAAATTCTGTTCTTCATCATTCACCTCCAGTAACCTTGAGTGCGTGGTCATTAAATTTGTTATGAAAAGAGTTATAAATGAAGATGTTTAAAAAATTAGAATTCCATTAAAAAACATGAAGTTGACTTTTACTTCACTTTGATACTTCACCCGAAAATCAAACCAAAAGCACCTCTTTGAAATCCTATAACTTTTGTTTGACATTTCTTTTCACTTTGCTTTATTTTTTATATATTTAGGCGTTTTAATTTAAATATTTCACCTGTATATAAGTATCTCGAGTATTATTATAAATTATAAACTTTTCATTGCTGTATTTTCCAAACGAAATGGATCAATAATTAAGATATTTCTATGTAACGTCGGTATATTAGCTTGCAATATCATAGTAGTTTCTCATTAAAACCTTAACTTTAGTTTACAAGAAATTAAAAATAGCATGTGAATTCTAAGATGTGTATATATATATATATATATACATATATGTATATATATATATGTATATATATATATATATATATATATATATATATAT